CAGGCCTGGGGGAGCGCGGGCAGCCGCCATCTTGGGCCCCCCACCCTCACCTGAGTAGCTCATGATGGCGGCCCCGCACCCGCTCCCCGCCACCGCCTCCTGCACCAGACGGTAACGGCGTCGGGCCAGCCCCGCCTCCCGACCGCATTGGCCGCCAGGGCCCACCCCCTCTTGCCCGCCATTGGTGGCCGGGCTAGTTCACCCCGCCCACCCGAGTCCTCTACCCTCGCCCCCGGAGGAGGAAACTTCTGCAGGCGCTCGTGCTTTGTTGGAGGAGGGGGGCCGTCAATCAAGGCCGCTCTGGCTTTCCATAGGGAGCGGCGTCCGTCCGTCTAAAGCCCCCTCCGAATGCCAATGGCGGAATGGGCTGTCAATAAGACCAGGGCCGATGTCTATTAGTTGAAATAAGGATCGCTCACCTCAATCCTGGAGACAGGAGAGAGAGGCTATTGGCCGATGAACCTGTCAATTATATAGTGGGCGTCGCCAGCACTCTCTTGCCCTCTGATTGGTCAAAAGGGACCAGGTGGTTCCCAATGGCTTGAACCACCGGCGTCGACGCTATACTTACCTACGGCAGCCCAGCAGGGCCACACTTGAAAGGCCGCTGGTGTAGGCGCCCCTGGAGGACAGGAGGAGGTGGCTCCGCTGCCCCGCCCTGCTGGCTCGCTATTGGCTGCGGGTCCGGCTGCCGAGATCCCAGCTCCCGGGGGGTCACCATAGCAACGGCGTAGCCGTCAAGCGAACCCGTGCTCGAGGGGCTCCTGCGCGCCAAGATCGTCATGGCAACGCCCGGGCGTCGTCAACCTCTCGATTCGAGGACGACCCTCACCGCTAGAGCCAGGCACGCAGGTGGGAGCCGCGGGGGGCAGGATGCAGCCGGGGTTGCGGTGGTCGCACTCGTCTCTGCCTGGAAGGCGAGGCGAGGCGAGGCGAGGCGAGGCGCTGCTGGAGCATCCCCGGCCCCGTGCGGGCGGCAGCAGAGACAGAGGTGTTGGGGACACACCCAGGGCAGGGCACGGGGGCTGAGGCACCGGCCTGTGGATCCCCGTGGTCCAACCATGAGGCTCCCCACAGGTCTGGAAGCCTCCTCCTGCCCCTGGGTCGGAGACAGGCTGTGGGGGACAATGGGGCCGGATCCTGCCTGGCAGCGCTGGGGCTGGGCAGTGGGCCTGATCCCACACAGGGTGGTATGTGGGACCAGGACCCAATCCACCATGCACTGGATTGGGCCCAAGTCCCCCATGCACCAGTCTAGGCCCACAGTGGATCCAGCCCACAGAACCACCCCACAACAATCACCCAGTCCATGGAGCAACAAGGTTGGGCACCACTCGCTTAGACATTGGACAGCCCCAAGTTGGAGGGTGAGGCAGCATCATTCACCGTATTAACCTGAAGCCAAGGAGAGGGTAGAGTTACGCCTTAGAGACTAACCAAAGTAGGTAGATGGATACATGTATCTATGGCAGCTCTGCATGTGCTTGGTCAGAAGCTGAGCACATGGCAAGCAGCTCTGAGCAAGCAGCAGCACCAAGCACTGTACTTAAAGATCCACCTGAATCCAGTCCAGAGCTCCTGGGGTGACAAAGCTGGGTGAGGGGGAGGCACAGCCCAGGGCCAAGGCACTACCCTCCCCTGTCCCAGGCCTGCAGCTTCAGGGAGGGCAGGGGCAGCTCCCTCACATCTGAGGGGATGGGGGGAGGAGGAGGAGGAGGAAAGGGACAGGAGGGATGCCACTGTGTGTGGCTCTGGCAGCCACCAGTTTGGACCCCTCCCCCCAGATATCTGATACAGACAGCCAGGTCTTTGTGCCTGAAACAGTGGATGGTATCCAAGGAGCCGTTGCTCTAATAGTAGCCCACATAAGAGGACGAAAGACTCTCCCTCCTTCCCCCAAGGCTCTGCTCTCCAGCCCTTGGTACCCCGCTCCCCATGGGCAGATCTAGCATTTTGAAGAGGGGGGTGCAGATGGTAACATGCATCACAACACATCACATTTTTTCAAGCTAAATGAAACTAGAAGCTTTACTAGTACATTAAAGGCCTAGGGCTATATGACTTGGTTTAAGTTTGAAGCAAAAAACAAATATAACTTCTTTGGAAACAGTTAAAAATAGTCTGCAAGACTGTAATATAAGAGCTTTGTGATCAGGAGTAGCTACAGACTGCAGAATTGCAAAACAAAAGCTATCTTGATTGGTGGAATATCAAGGCCATTAAAAAGGAAGAGAAGGTCATTAACGTGTGGAATGAAGAGTTTCAAAGAGATCAGGTAGATGATACTGATCCATGAAGTCAAGCAACAAATTCAGCACTTCCTGACTAGAAATGCTGCTGCCACTTCCAGGCCATTCATTTTCAGCTTTGGGTGGAGCAACTGCACCAGTGCACCCACGCTGGATCCACCTGTGCCCCACCAGTCCAGGGCACCAAAATTCTTAGTTATGCCCACTGGGAAGTGGCACCATTTGGGAGGTGCTGTTCAGAGACTCATAGAGACTCGTTATTAGAACAGCCCCTTCTGGCCTTGCAAACTGGAATGAGAAATGGCCAGGCTCAGATTTTCCAAATTCACAAGGAATATAAAAACAATAAACTTGGGAAAGTCCTGGTGTTCAAGCCTCTGGGGAGCAAGGCTACATTTCCCAGCTGCTCTCTGCAAGCCACAAAGGCTGTTTAAAAATAATCACACCAATATTCTCACAAAATAACATGGTTGCAGGAGTTGGGGCTTTAAGTAGAACAGTAAAGGCAGGGAGAAGCACAATAAACATGGCAGGACTTTGCACCATGCTCTGATTCTACTGGCTGTGCTGAGGGGGAGGATGCTGTACCCAGGTCACCAGAACTGAGCGGGAGAATGGGTCTGAAAAGTAAATACCTAGGATCCAAGAAAGGGAGGAATTACAGGCTCCAGGATAAACAGCATTGGCACCGCACTGTTTATTCTTTAATTGGCATCTATGTACCCACCTCCCTTCACCACCTTTGAAAGCCTCAGGATTCCTGACCCTTAACACATTGCTACACCACAGTGCCCCTGTTTATCTGTTCACTGTACCTGTCCTGCATCACACTTGGAAGTGCCACAGGGGTGTCAACATTTTTTTGACATGGGACAACCCCAGCTGCCTTGAATTTGTCTCTAGTAAGAAAAGAAGCTGAAATTTACACCAAAGCAGCTGCATATACACCAAAGAACAAGCCTACTCCTACTCGCACGCTCTATCTTCAAGGTCAAAGTTAACTAACAGCCTTGATAAAACCAGCAAGGGATCCAGCTAATTCCATGCAGAGTAAGCCCTTCAGGTCCTTGCTTTTGCAATGCCATGCTTTTGTACATTGACTCAGAGGCCATGTGATGCCAGGATGTATGACGATGATGATCATTAAGTGTTGATGATGCATCACCTAGAGGTTCCATGTGAGGTCAGGCCAGGTCCCCCCCTGTTGATACCAGAGGGTTGGTCTTAACTGGAATGGGAGGTATTTTTGATAGACAATATCCACACGTGAAAGCTGTACTGTAAATAAGGCGGCACCCTCAGTAGTCACTACAAGGCCAAGCTGAAGCCTGTGGGAGAACTGTGTATGTTAGAAAGCTCCAATACCACAGCTTCACATCTCAGCCAGGGCACACCTAGAAGGAGAGAGATGTCTGCACATCTGCTTTGCAATGGATTTGAAGGGCTGGCCTGAGCTCTCAACCTTCTTAGACTCCAGTCTGCCCCCATTAGCTTCCAGGCCCCACCTCTGGAAATGCCAGTTCTTTGCCTTCTTTTTTTTTTTTCCTGAATTATGGAAAAATACTAGAGCAATCCTGTTACAAAGAACTCAGACTCCAGCAGGTCCAAAGTCTGTGACACTGGATTTCTACTAAAAAAATCTGGGCTGATCTAGTCTAGTGAGTCATGTATAGGTGTTTGCATGCCTAATACAGCATTACTGTACAGCACCCTTACAGGCATGGCACCCTCCTTGCAAATCACAGCCTTCGCTACTCCATGCCATGTGAGCAAGCCTCCTACCATGCACACTCCTGTCCACATTGTGTTACTGCAGGAATGTGTGGGAAGCACAGGAGGGGCAAGAATTGGGAAGACCGATTCCTGGAAGTACAGGATAGGCTTTCTTGGAAACACACCCACTACATCTTTCATTCTAGCCTTGAGAAGGCCCCAGAACGCATGGGCACAGGTCTGCAAATTCAGCCCAGGCTGGCTGGGCCTTGGAACTGTGCATGCTTCCAAAGCATAAGTCAAAGTAGCTTGCTCACATCTCCTGAGGTCCCAAGAAGAACTTTTATGGGACCACAGATGAAGAACCAAAATCAATCCCAGCAGGATGCAGACAAACACCCAAAGCTGTTGTTATAAGATGGGACTCTAGGCTGCATGGATAAGACCGAGTAGGTTTTATTTCAGATGGAATGAGATGGTAATACCATAAGAAATGGGATATTAAAGACCAATACAAGCAACCAGAATAGGAAGAGTAGGATCTGGGCATCAAGACTGTTGCATGCCAACTCAATAATGTCCCACTTCTTCCTGTGATTAATCAGCCTCTTAAAGCAATAGCTTGTGATGTGTGGTCTGACCTAGTGGTTAGAGCCAAACCATGTGTGTGGTCGGACATGTGTGGTCTGACCTAGTGGTTATAGCCAAACCACGGACTGCATCAGGGCAGGAATCAGAAAGCAAGTTACCAGATACAAAAGGAAATCCAGAGGCAAGTCCAAAATGCAGGCCAGGTGACCAGAGACAGATACCAGGCTGCCACATCCAAGAGGAAATCCAAAACACCAGAGTCCAGGAACAGAGCTGAGCAGGAGGACAAAGCCAGGAGTACAGGATCAGAGAGGCTTACCAGAGCAGCCCTTCAGAGGAACTGTTAGCTGGAGTCTGCTTCCACAGCTGGAACGAACAGGGAGCCTGCTCTCCCGGCAGCCAACCAGGAGTCCCTACCAGTGGTCAGCTGGACTCAGCTGGGTTAGAGCTACCAGCCAGGGCCCCAGGCAGGTGCGGCCTACTAGGGAATTACCCCATGCTGGGCTGCCTGTCAGGGCTTCTGACATAGCTAAACATGAGACTGAAAGGGAGGGGGGAGCAGGGGGAAAAAG